GGTGGGATATATTAGGCAGCAGGTGAACATTTTGTCTTCAAAGTTGATGTGTTAGAAGCAGGAAAAATGGGTAGCGTTGAATGACTTTGACTTTGCCAAATTGTAAAACAAAGAGGCCTTCGCCAGTATTCTCGTCTGGTTTTCAACAGCTCTATTGCTCTAACTATTACAACCACAGAGACATTCGACTGAAAGTCGCCACTTAACAGGGTTACTTGATAAATTTAAAACACTGTCAGTCTGTTGTTCACAATGGTAAGCAGTGGCTGTTCAATCTGCTCTGCTCAACCTCCTGACGAGTTTAAATTGACTCATAGTGCCACCTGCTGTTATGGAGGCAAATAACTCCTCGACAATCCTGCACAATCACATTGGAAAGGTGGTGCCAAAAAGTCAAGTAATATTTTTTTGATTGATATTTTTAATGGGTTGTCCCTCCAAATTTAAGACGCTCATAGAGCTCTGTTGCAGAAGCCAGCACATATTCGCAACCTCAAATTGACAATGTCCAGAAAATGGAGACACAACTGAAATAGGCTGTAAGGCTGTATTTGTTGTGCATTAATGCATTAGTTTGTTAATGATGTGTATGTGCAGACCACACTGTGTTTCTTACTGAATTGCCGGGCATTTGTGTTTCGTTTATTAAATTCTGCAGGAAATTAGCTCCATACAGACACTGGACAAATAATCCACGGCTGAGTCTGCAGGGTTTTAAAGACTTTGACAAGAGTATGAGCTTTTAAATATGACCCAGTAAAAAGGTGATGAAGCAGAAAAGCCATAAAGGCATACAGATTAATAAATGTTTCTCTCTACTATTGAGACAGAGACATGAAAGTCAACATTTAGATAATACAAAAAAAGAAAACACACTAGTAGTGATGTTGATGTGAAACGTGTTCAGTGTATTAGCATATAGGATAAAAACCTGTGTTGATTTTTCACATGATTTTCAGAGAAAGAAGCAGAAACGGCTAAAGGAGAAGTGGGCTCGATGGTCGTGTCTGTTTACAGGACAACCAGTCAACGATGTCAAGTTAGTCTGTAACTGTCTATTTGTATGTCTGTCCATCTGTATCTGTATTTGAATGTCTGTATGTAACTGTCAGTAGCTGTCTGTCTGTCATTGTTAAGGATGTTACCATAATGGATTAAGGAAAGCAGAGTATAACATCTGTTGCATTTAGATACTGTATGATTTGAAAGGGACAGATGTATGTGCTGGTGTTCTAAAAACAGCGAGAAGTTAGTTACTGTCGATTGGCTGCTGATTTAACTGCTCATCAACACAATCAGCAGTTGGAGCTTAGTAGTGGATGTGATACACAGCTCAGGTGATTAAAGTACTTTAATAATACATTGAACATGTAACATATGCGGAGCGTATGCTGTAACACTACAGTTCCATTATAATAAGGGATATTTGATCACGTCTTTTAGGCCCTGATCTGAGTCATTTAATATTGAGTGTCTGCCGATACAGAGTCTTGGTTCAATACTTTTTAGATGATACAGTGTGCAGTGCACACCTCAAGTACATTAAAGTCAATAAAATCTAAAATATCAATTGAATAGCTCTGAATTGCATTTAGAAAAAAAATGGCTACATTGAAGCTGTTTCTTAAAGTTTTTTTTATTCTTTTTACATAATAAAGTATAAAATAACAATTGCTCTTTTTGAGTCCTTGTCGCTGTCTGGAGGGAATTGTATTTGGTGCTTTAGTGCAGCTGGTGTTGAGATAAAATGAGATAAACTTTATTGATCCCACAGATCAATAAAGCAGCTCCAGATACACCACATAATATACATTAAATAATAATACAATAGAAAAAATAGAAGACATACTAGAAGTAGAAATATAAGATTCAAGATTCAAGAGGTTTACTGTGATATGCACAGTAAGAAACAAAGTGATTTATACGTACAATGAAATTCTTTGTACGTTTCTACTCACACAACACACAAATAGATGAATGAAATAAAGTTAAAATATAAAATATAACTAAAATATAACATATAACTTAAATGCAGAACAATGTACAGTAAACAAAGAAATCTGAGTTGAATAAGGTGCTGTGGGTTGTATTGTTTAAGAGTCTGATGGCCTGCGGGTAGAAACTGTTAGAGAGGCTTTTTGTCCTTGCTTTTACACTCCTGTAGCGCCTCCCTGATGACAGAAGTGTGAAGAGACTATGTTGTGGGTGTGTATTGTCTTTCCTGATGACCGTGGTTGTGTAAATGTAGTGATGGGAATGCTGCTCCAGAGATGAATTGTGCAGTTTTTATTACAGCTGGAGAGCCTTCCTGTCCTAAGCAGTAAAGTTGCCATGCGACACTGTAACTGAGCTGGTGATGATGCTCTCGACTGTACATCTGTGAGGATTCTGAAATGCCAAATTTCTTCAGTCTTCTTATGAAGTAGAATCTCGGCTGGGCTTTCTTCAGGAGGTGGTGGGTGTGGTGTGTCCAGGTGAGATCCTCCCTGATGTGAGTTCCGAGGAATTTAAAGGTTATCACCCACTCTACCTCTGTCTCACCAATGCACCGATACAGTGGGGTGTGCTGTTCCCTCCTACCCCTCCTAGGATCAGTAATCATCTCTTTTGTCTTGTTTGTGTTCAGGGAGAGATTATTTTCCTGACACCAGGCCACCAGTCCTGCCACCTCTCTTCTGTATGCCGTCTCCTCCCCACCACTGATCAGTCCAATGACTGTGGTGTCGTCTGCAAACTTTATAATGCAGGTGTTGGTCTGGGAGATCACACAGTCTGACTGGGGTCTGTCTGTGAGCCCCCAGTTACAGAGTGAGGGTGTCAGTCCGAGAGTGAGGAGCTTTTCAGAGAGCCTGTATGGAATGACTATGTTGAGTGCTAGTCATTCAGACAGGTCACAGTGTCCTTACTTGGGAGTCGCACGATGGTGGTGGACTTGAAGGGGGTGGGGCGAGGCCTGAGCGAGGGACAGGTTGTAGATATTGTTGTTATCTGGGCCATCTGCCTTCCATGGGTTTGTTCTGCTCAGAGCAGAGCGCACCTCTACCAGTGACACAGAGAGTGGTGTGTCCAGTATGCCCTCGGTGGCCAGAGTCTCTCCTTGTTGGCTGGTGTTGAGGGCCTTGAAGCGAGCATAAAACTCATCCGGTAGTGTGACTCTGCTGGTTGAGGCCCCCAACTCTTCTGTTTGTAGTCTGTGATGTGTTGCAGACCTTGCCACATGCTCCGGAGATCAGCAGTGGTGTAATATCTCTCCAGCTTAAGTCTGTATTGTCTATCTCTTTTTGTAGTCCTCAGTGTCACCCGAGACAAATGCAGCAGAGTGAGCACGTAGCATGGACCGCACTTCACAGTTAATCCAGGGTTTGTCGTTGGGGTAGGTCTTGCAGCGTTTAGTGGGGATAATGTTCTCAGTGCAAATGTAGTATGTAGTAATGTAGCCAGTTAGAGCTGCAGCATATTCCTCTAGGTCCACAGTACAGTCCCGTTTCAGAGCAGCAATTTTAAACACACACCAGTCTGTACTGTTAAAGCAGTCCTGAAGCACAAGTTCAGATTCTTCATTCCTATTTATTCATGTCTCTCCTGTTTCTCCCTGAAGCTGCTGTGTCATGTGCACAAGTCCTGGTCGGAGCTGCTGTACATCAGCCTTCTTGAAGGCTGTCAGTCTGGTTTTGTTGGGTACTTATCCCTCTCCGGTTCTGTTGCGCATGCTGGCCCTGCTTCCTGGCAGCATTCCCTGCTCCTACACTAGTAGTATTTCAAGCTCCCAGTCCAGGGAGTATCAGCTAAAATGACTACTTAGCATATGCAACAGTGCACCAGTAAGTGTAAGTGACTAACTGTTTTACAAGAGAAAAGGTCTGTGTGGCAACAATCCTCTGATACTTTCTTGCCAGTGACAAACTGCTGCTCCCGAACGTTGTTTGACGTTGTCTTGTTTTTCTGCAACTATCTAATTAAGTCTCTTCACATAAAGTCGTAAAGTTTTGTTGTTTCTATCTTATGAACATCCACATGAAAGGTGGAGTGAAGGCTGCCATAGAGAGGGGGTAGACCCTCTTAAATATGGAGAGTGTGTGTGTTTGTGTTGACGTGTTTGTGCGTAACATCATGTCTGCCTGTGTGTTACCTGTTTCTTGCAGGTGTTACTTTGGAGAAAAGGTGGCTCTTTACTACTTGTGGTTGGGCTGGTACACCAAGTTGCTGGTTCCAGCTGCTGCTCTGGGTGTTGTTGTTTTCCTGTATGGACTCGCTTTTTTCAACACCAACCCCCTCATGTGAGTTGCAGAAGTACAATTACGTAGTAAATGGTCTAAAACTTGGAAAACACTTGTCTTTTTGTATTAAATGGTAAATAGACTGTACTTTAGAAAAATGTAGTAGTGTAGAATATCAGTAGTACAGCTGACAACAATGTGTTATCAGAGCTTAGCTGTACTATGACAGTAGATTATAAATAACTTATACAGCAAAACAGTCCACAGCTAATTTGAAAGGCAGTCATGTGAAAGTCAAAGATAAGCGACATTAATAGAAAAACATTGTTTGTACATCTAATCTTGCATGAAGCCCTTTCTTTCTGCCTCCCCAACAAGTTTGTATTTAATGAGCAATGAGAAGCCAGCTCTTCCTGTTTATCATGTTTGTGCAGAAAACAGATACAACATAATTGAGCTTTTATATTTCCATTAACCCTTTAATTCTTGTCTCTATGTGTGTCCTCAGTAAGGAGGTGTGTCAGTCCAGTATCATCATGTGTCCTCGATGTGATAAGAGGTGTACAGTGTGGCAGCTGTCAGACACATGCACCTACGCTAAGGTGATAACCTGTTCTGTTCATCTGTAGGGGTGGCTGTGGCTCAGAGGCAGAGCGGGTCGTCCCCCAATCAGAAGGTTGTTGGTTCGATCCCCGGGCTCCTCCTGCCACGTGTCGAAGTAAGTATCCTTGAGCAAGATACTGAACCCCAATTGCTCTCGGTGTGGGCCATGTGTATGAATGAGTTTAGTTTCCTTTTTTGCTGTGAAAGGTGAATTACACACACATAGATAAGAGATGGAACACAACAAAGACTAGAAAGGCACTATACAAGTACAGGTCCATTTACATTACCATTCATCTGATCTCTTACGCCTGAATGCACTCAGGCTATTCCATGTACGCCATCATGAAACAAAGCAGTCAGTTGATTCTAGCTGTCTTCATCTCCTTCCTCACGCTGTGAGAATGACTGAACAAACAACGCGCGCAGCATAAATCATCCTAAATTTTTGACTACATTCCTACTGGGGCTTGGTGAGTTACCCACAGCTTTCAGCCACCGGGTTGGACAACTTGATCTAGTTAATGTATATCATGCATGGAGTTCTCATAATGATAAGTTAAGCAGTGAACGTTATCAAGACGGGTTACAATTCCGGGTGCAGGACTGAAACAACTCACCAGGATGATAACCACAAAAAAAACATTGAATATTAAGTCTACAATGATAGTAGGCTTTGCAGTATCTAGAAGAAGACTAGGGCTACTTTATAACTCATGCAGGATGTGTCTAGCTTGTCAGTTG